TTTTTTTTTTTTTTTTTTTGGAAACAATTATTCACCTACCTGTAGTTACTAAAGAGACTGTAAGTTCAATAAAAGAAACACCACAAGTATAGTTCTCGGCTGATAGACGAAGCTACTGTACCTTGTTAAAAAGATACCAGGAAAGCACAGAGCACATTTTTCCCTATATGTAGGTGGGACCCCAACATTCATAACCAAAACAAGAGGAAGGAAAGGAAGAAACCAAGTTGTACAAGTACTGACTGTAACAAGAAGGGCCAGGAAAGGCTGAGCCACACACTCCCAGCCCTGGCTGCCAATGGGGAATGCGCAGCGAGGCTTTCCTGGAGCCATGAGCAACTGTAACACAATCCTTATCTATAGTGTTAAGAGAATTAAAAGCCATGAACCGATACTGAACTAGGCTTCATTACACGGTGCATTACTATATTAGTTCCTATATATATTGTATTTATAGTTATAAAAAAATTGCAAATGTCAAGAGTGGACCAGTGTATGGGTGAATGGCATGATTCTGCACAGACCGTCCTGCTGAAGAACCTGGTATTGCTTTGAAATGAAAGAAAACCAGAAAGAAAAGATACCCAGCCCTTTGCAATGACCCGCTTCTCCTTTAAAAAAAACATGTCGGTTTGTACAAAAAAACCCTCAAAAACAAACACCCTAAGGTTCCTTTTTTTAGTATTTTCAGATACCATGATCTGCGTCAGTCCTTATAAAATATACATTCATACATGGGGAGCTGGGCGCTCCTGGACAGCCCAGGCCAAGGTTGCCCCGGCCCCGCTGCCGCTGGCCCCGCAGGCCCTGGGTACAGCTCCAGTGGCCACAGCGGCTCCCGGCCAGGCAGTCCCAAGGGGAATAGCAGCAAAGCGGGGCAGCCCGCTGGCTCAGCGCTGCCGGCGGGACGAGGGTGCCTGGCACTCGGATCCTGGGGGTTCTGAGCTCCCCCAGCCCTCCTTCCCACACTCCCTGGTGGGGTGCTCTGGGCACGGAGCCTCCTCCTGCAGCCAGGAACGGGGAGCTGGCAGAGCGCGGGGCCAGACAGCGCTGCGCACTCAGCTCTGCCATCAACTCAGGGACTGTGCCACAGCAAGGGCTCTGCCCCCGCCCTGCGTCAGAAACAGGGAAGGAAAAGGGCCAGGAGCAGCCATGCCCAGGGCCAGGCCCAGATCCCCTGGGTGGGCACTCTCTGGGCTCCTCAAGGTATGTGCGTTCCCAAACTGTCAGTGCATCAAATCATCTCAGTAACAAATGCAGCGTCAATGTGACTTTGCTTTCAACAGTTACCACCAAATTACCCTCACACAGTGCAATAACAAAAGGAAATGGGCAGGTTCTGAACCTCCGAGCGCTGCTTTTCCTTCTCAGGGCAGAGGAAGAAGCCTCAAGACCTGAGAGATGTAGACYGGGGGTGCCCCTGCGAGAGCTGGGGATCAGCAGGCACAGCCAGTCCCTTCCCCACCAAGAGCYGGTGCTGGTCCAGAGGAGCCCCGGACACGGCAGCTCCGGGAACAGCAGCTCCTGGAACGGCTGCGACCTCACCCCCAGGAAAACTCGGAAAAGCGTGGGGCGCTTTCTGCTTTCCCTTCTCTGCAGAAAAACCCATCTGCCTTCAAGCGACAGACTGGGGGAGGAGATGCGTGTCTCAGACTGGCTTCTCAGCAAAGAGGTATCAAGGGTCAGGTCTCTCATCCTGTCTTACTTTTCCTTTTTAAACCCCCSCAGGATGCCAGCACAGGCAAAGCAGAATTAAACCTTCTGCCCGAGTCACACATTGTCCTCCCACAGAGCCAAACTCATACCATGCTGGGCAGCTCTCCCTCCTGCCCCCATCCTTACAGGCAAATACAATTTAAGGTCCAGCCAACCCTCCTGGAGACAGCTACTTAAGTCAAAAAGGCAGACAAGAGTAGAAAACAAAACTAAAGCAACCCCCCCACTGGAGAAAGGCTCAGACTATGTCCAGCCAGGTATTTCCTAGAACCATCCTATGAAAATAAAAAAATCATTAAAAAGAGATTCTCTTAAATTAGGATAATACCACTGTTTAAAAAGCCTCGTCATAAGTGCTTTCCCCTATGAAGTGCTTCTCATAGAAAAATATACAAAATATATTTACATTTATAAAACCTTAAATACTAAACTGTAAACAGAACGGAGCAGAATCCAATGTTGTCACTGTCAGGCTTGGGCTCTCAYTTCTCTCTCTCTGGTTTTGCTCTGAGGCACAGGGCAGACACCACGGGGAGGGAGCACTGGCACTGCTCTAACAGGACCGTGGTGACCCTCAACTCGCTCAGACCTGGTCCGGTTCCTTGGCCACCACTCCAGTGCCTCACACGTTTCCTATGCCTTTCGACGAGGCCAGCTGGTGCTTGGCCTTGCCTTTGCAGAGAACTTTGGCTCCATTTTGGTGCCCTTCCTGTGTCTTATGGGGAACACAACCACCCGCAGACAGCTGCCCATGACAGGGGCCTGCCTGCAGGGTCACTCCCTGCCTGCCGCCCACAGCCCGGGGATGTTGTGGCACAGCAGAGCAGAGAAGGTGCCTCCACAGCACTCCTTCCTACTCCTGCTCTACAACAGTTGTGGCTAGGGCTGGGGCTGGCTTGCACTTTCCCTCTCTCCCTAAAGACATCTGTCTGGTTCCTCGAGACCCGGCTGSCTGCGCTGGGAGCTCGCTGGTCAGAGGAGAAGCTGCTGGACACAGGACCCAGAGGATCCCTTTCCTCTCACATGGCCACAGAGGGAAAGCGTTGGTGAACAGGAGCCTTTGCTGGCAAAGAATTACACTGCCCCAMCTGTTGGCACAAGCCCTCTTTGCCAAAGGATGCCAGGAGCTCCCCTGCTCTCAGGCAGGGATCTCAGAGCAAAATGCCAGCCAAACTCTTSTTGTGCCTAGCTGTGGGCTGCTCTGTTCTGCTCTCCTGGTGAGCAGCCCACCACGCCCCAGAGCCTGCACAGGCAGCACACCTACTCCTGCTCACTCTGGTGTTTGCAGACACGCAGTCCCAGGGGCACAGCCCCTGTCCCAGGAGACAAACTCAAACACTGCACTACCCAGGCACTGACAGCCCTCGCAAGGAGAGCTCTGAACCAGGAGACAGAGAGGCCTACGACCCATGACTGCTGCCCCTGCCTGGGC